TACATGTTCTGGGCGGGCTGCAGCAGGCAATGCAAGACCGTCCGTGTGGCTGTTGAAGACGGTTTAGTGCCTTTTTGATGTTCAATGTATGGACAAAAATATGCTGAAAAGCAAAATTTTGGGGCGTGAGGAAATCTCGGCCCCTCACCGATTCCACTTCATCCGTTTTTCTTCCAGCAAATAAAACCAGATTGCATTTTTCGGACATATTTTTCAGCAGTAACTGAGCTGAAACAAGTACCATGTCTGGATGCTAAGCTTTTGCTCAACTGCACTTTCCTATAAGCCGTGACCGAGAAACGGCAGAACAGCGCACATGGGCACACTTATGGATGATGGAGTCTCTTGGGTTTACAATTTTTGAAAATTTTGTTGTATTCATATCTGCCAAGAATAGGTGTGAAAGGGTCCCGAGAGCACTGGGGCATCACACACTAATTCGGCATATGTTTTTTTGGTTTGCTTTGCCAAAGTTGGCGTCACCCGTTGCTGTTATGCTTTTTTAGCGCATCTCCCCCTCCCCATCTTTGCGGACTCTCGGTGATCATCTCTTTGGGGTTTGTACCTTGAGTAAGAGAAGCCCGGAACGTCCAACAAGCCCTTTTCCACGGCGGATGTGGATTCTGCGCCTGAATGTCCAGACCGCCCCACCGTGCGCTGCCTGTGCCTTTGCCAGCACTCTAGAAAAGCGGCACACTGCGGCATTCGGCAGGCCATGGGAGGACTGACCCACTGGGCCGAGATGAGCAAACTGCAGTGGCTCACAGGTACGGTTGTTCTGTGTGATACCCCAAAATTGTTCGTGCCTCCAAGCGTCAGCTGCGTATCGTTTGAAAGAAAATGGAACCGGCAGCTTGCGACCATAACAGCTTTGCCGTTGTGCTCCATCAACAGCTTGCGCTGCGATGGATTTGACATGAGCCGATTCTTGTCGGTGGGCGCTTGGCAGATTGCTTCAGTGCGTCGCACAACTGCACCTACAGCAGGTGCACCACGCATCCCAGTCACCGAACTGATGGCAGTTTCTGGCAGACATTTGGTAATCTAGTTTGTTTTAGGAATCGTATCGCGCCGAGCCCCACGCGTTTTACGCCAGTGAGCTGCGACACCACAGTGCCACAATTTGGACACATTAATTCTTGGAGACGTCCAGTAAGTGTTACAAACTGTTGCCGCAATATCTCTATGGGCAGTGCAAGGGCAATTAGGAAAAGATGATAAGACCTTTATTATATCAGAGAAAGCGAAATCCACAGGTCCAACATTAACACCCAGTTTTGCAATGTCGCTGAGACCCATTGGAAACCTAGCGTCATGCTGTTCTAACTTCACTGATCTGGTGAAGCGCCCACCGGCACTGGAGCGTGTGAGGCGTCGTTGCCACTTGATCACGCGGTGCATTCTGCATTGCATTGCCCTGCCTATACAAATATATAACGATCTGCTGTTTGTTGTGAATCTGTCTTTCCGCGGCCTTGCAACGGTGGGCTCCACAACAAATAGGCTGATTGCCACTAACGCATCCCTGCCATCCGTCTTCTGGGGTGGAGCTGCGTAATAAATCAAGAAAAGCAATCTTGTGAATGCTGCACGTTTCTCTCCACACACCCCTTTGTTTCCCGCACGGCGGCGCAGAAGGGAAAACTCTTCTGTGTCCCTGAGACGAATGGCAGAACCGGTAACTGCCGTCAAAGCACGTCATTTTCAGATAAATTCTGTTCCTGTTCAATTGTTCGAAATTGTGTGTTGCAAGTAAGAGACCTGGCGTCGACAGTGCCTTCTCAATCATGTGCGCAACAGTACGTTAGCTTCTGCATCACCATTCATTATGACAATGAATTTGGCAAAATGCGCGTGTTGCCGAATCCAGTCCTTGAATCCTGTTATTGGTGCAACGCCCGCAAGTACATGGCAGCGAACGCATGAGTTCAATCGATTCAATTTGCAATTCGCGGAATTTTGTTCCAGCACAAAAAACACAAAGTCGGCCCCACTGCCGTTTCTTTCCCCAAGCGGTGCGTAGCCCCACGTGCCAAGCCGACGGCCAACATCTTCTGGGGCCATGTCCACAGGCGGGGCTGACGACCTTCATGGGGATGGCTATGGAACTTCGGTAAATTCAAATCGCGTTTCACTGTGGTAAAAATGGTTCACGGCGAGTACAGTGTGGTGCGGCTGGGAAAGAGTGCGGGCGCCGTCAACAGCTACAGTGAAGCGCGAAGAATTTGGTGACTGGAACCTTCATGCGTCAACCAAATTTTCGGCAGTTTTACCACGCTGTCACTAGTAAAAAATCGTCCAAAGTACACGGTCCTACAAATCGTGTACCGTGTTATGAGAGTAAAAGTTATGTAAAATTCGTGTACCAATCGTGTACTCATCGCAAAGTACACGGCTGGCGCTGGTACACGGTTGAAGTCGTGTAAAACCGTGTTCTTTATCGTGCTGTCCACGGTGGCAAGGTGGACAACTTTCGTGTACTACACAGGGCTGAAGAGTACACGACCTACCAATCGTGTGAAATCATGCCCCAAGCACCCGATTCTTACACGATTTCACACGATTGCACACCGTGTCAAATGGTCGAATTTTTGCCAGTGTGTGGCGTCGGGGTGGGTGCACAAGGGCACAAATTGACAAGCTACGGGATATGCAGATTTGAGTGGAAGAATTTGCGGTCCCCATGCTGCAGGCTTGGTTTGTACGCCGTAAAAACTGATGGTATTCACGTTTTTACGCGTAAAAACAGTTTTTACGTTTCAGGCGTAAAATTGCGTAAAAATACGTAAGTGAAACGTAAAAACTGCCTGGTGTACATAAGCACAGTACATGCAGACTTGCGGAGTCCGGAGAGTGGCCTCCAGACGTCCTGGAAGGGGCAGAAAACGAGTTTTTGTCAAACCCCATCATCGCCCTTGCCAGGGGCGATGTAGACATTGTGCTTCGGGTGCTGAAGATGGCGGAGCACTGATCATTGTACGCAACGTTCCTCGTGTAACCTGGGTATCGCAGGGACCCGTGAAAACGTAAAAGTAGCCGCGAAAATAGGCCCTTTTGCAAGTTTACGTTCTTACGCGTAACAACGCAAAAGTAAAAACGTAAAAAACAAGCCTGCCCATGCTGCAGGCTCTTGTTTCTCACACACATACTTTGGGCTACAACTGTCATCACTCTCTTTGCGGGGCTGTGGGCAACCCAGCAGACGGAAGGCAGCTGGTGGACCGTGGCGCTAGGCAATGTATTGTGCATTGGTTTGTGATTTGTGCGTACTTGCAGGAACTTTGCAAAAGACGGACACATCGCTGTGGCCATATCTCATGGGAAGCATGCACTGCGATGAGACTCAGAGACTGTTTGTGCCAGTTTGTTGGTTGCCTTATTTATCTGGATGTTGAGGATTCCCAGACTTGTGGCGGCATCGATGCCTTCGAAGGCATGGAAAATGGAATGAAAATGGAAATGGAAATGGAAATGGAAATGGAAATGGAAATGGAAATGGAAATGGAGTTCATTTTCCACAACTTTCATGTTGTTGGTGTCCCGCAGGTGCGCCTCCACCCATCCTATGATCAGTATAGTGGGGACCGAGGCCGTTTCCTTGACCACCTTAATCAGCTTGTGTGAAAATGGGTGGTAGGCAGACGCGGGAAGCCTTTATTTGTTGGCGGCGACCCGCAGGAGACGGCTGCACGCATTGCAGCGTAGTGCTGCTGGGGTGCCATGTGTAGGTGAACAGAGCGTGTGAAAACTTCCATCCAGAATCCGGGATCGAGTTAAAGCAACGTTGACAGCCCTTGCTGCAATGACTCTGTTGATGCGCCGCAGGCCAATGTGTCTGCAATGCCCATGCACCTACGCCTTTCAAGCAGCAATGACGGCAATTTCGAAGAGTTTGGTGGTTGGTAGGGTGCCAGGATGCCTGCCCTGTTAGCCTCAATGGAATAAGGGGCAAAACATGCTGGTGGAGCATTGATGCGCAAGACTAGCGACAATAATAAGAGGAACCCCGTCAGCATTCTCGTTGCAGCAAGGCCCATCAGCGCTGCTGTAATTCCATCCCGATTTCTGGATGTCGGCGTGGAAGGCCGTCCTATCATGCTGTTCACAACGCACAACAGCATTCACGTTCATCCACAAAAATTCACATTCAGATGATTTTCGCAATGAACGCATCTAATTTGATGCCAGATTTGGCCCGAGAAACCGGCGGGCCACAATTGCCCATGCAAAATTGACTACAAGGTTACGGGATAGTTCTCGAGGCTCCCAAACTGCGGCGGAGGGGCTGCAGCCTCAGCAAAGGAGCGCGGCGCAGGAGGTGGTACGGCTGCCATGAAGCTGCGCAGATTTGACGGCCCGCAATGGCCTTACAGGGAAGTCGTCGCCAGCCATTAGATACCCGAGCCCTAATTGATTGCAAGCTTATCCGAAGGCCCTCGGGGGCTCCGTAAAGGGCTCCGATCGCATCGACGGAGCGCGCGGGCCCGACAGTGCACCTGCTACCATGAAGTTTCTCGAACCTGATGGGCCCCAAGGTGCGACTGTCAAGAGGGCCATGGCGAAGTCGTCACGAGCCGCGGATGCAAGAAAAGTGAACCAAGAAGTTAGTGCCGAAAATCTCGCGCCTAGCACGTACAAGCTGCGCATTTGCCCGTTGGCGACGACGCTTGACTTCGCACTGCAGCTTCCAGGGGGCCGGCAACCGGCCCGTATAAGAAGGGCATCAAAGCGCTATGCGCTCAGGAACACAACAGGACGCGGCTGCAGCGCGGAGGCCGAACAAGCCACAAAACCGCGGCAGCCGTCCTCGGCCACCCCCTCCCAGGATGTTCCCCGCAAACCAGGCGGCCCTTCGCAGGCCGGCGGTGCTGCCAGCCACCCGGGCGCCATGGGGCCAAACGGCGCCGCCCTCTGCGCGGCGGCCGCCCAGCCGTCCCACCCGCCGCCGCCTGCCCCGCGGAGCCAGGCGGATCGGCCCGCCGCTGCAGGCCGGGGCGGAGATGTCCGACGTCGCCGAAGATGAAGAACTTGAGGCTGGCAACGAGATCGAGGAGGGGGCTGTTGTCGAGGATGACGCCGAGCTCGCTGGCGCGGCGCCGTGCAGCGACCGCACGACTAACAAGCCGGTTCGTACGCCTGAGGGGGGCGTGTGGACTCGGGCAGCTGGCATCGTGGGGGGATCCCAAATCAGGATACGGCAGAGGATCGGCACCGTCCGGAGGAACGGAAGGAACGTCCCCGTGATCAGCAACTGGCAGGGCCAGGTCGCCTGGCTGGTGAGTGCCTTGGGACGTGCGAACGGGCCCAGTTGGATTTTCCGCGCTGTCCGCATCCGGGCTCGCTTCCTCGACCGCTCTGGGCGAGCGCAGCGGAGGTCGAGGGTAGGGCCCTTGGCACGCGGTGACGCTTCTGTCGGCTGCCACCCGGCCCCATTACATTTCCGCGTTTGGACGGCGACACGCGCGACAAGGGCGGAGGCGGGCGTGAAGTGGGGACTGTACGGCGGTCAGAAGGTCTGGCGCTCGGGGGCCCAGTGGACAGGGCGCCTCCCTTGCAAGGGATTGGCCGTTTGCTCAGATCGGGCGCAGTCTCGTTGCGCGTTGCTCCTCCGCTGTCGCGCCACCCCCTTGCCGGTCGCCGTCCCGCTGCGAGCCGCGGGGTGGTCGCCTGTGACGTCCTTCTGTGCCTGTGGTGGCTTGCAGAGAGTGAGCAACGCAAATGTCAATAGAAACGAGACCATCGCCTGCGTGAGGCCGCCTGTTGTGACTGGCGAAGAGGACAAAGAATAGCGACAGGCGAGGTGAGGTCAACCTGTGGGCTGGCGCTAGGCGCACGACCAAGTGGCCAGACAGTGATTGTGTTGATGGCTTGAGCTTCCACGTATCCCATGAGCGCAAGGCCTTGAAAACGCACGTCTCGTCACGAGTCCCGCGCTGGGGGTGCAGGAGGTTGTCGAGTGGGGCACCACCGGCGGTTCCCACCAACCCTCAGGGCAGCGCACTCCCCGGTGGCGCGGCCCCGCAGCACCACCTCGCGCCTGTTTACCCCTTTACATCAACGGAGGCGTCGCACATGCAAGAGATTTCCCGCAGAGAGGTTACAGAGTTGAGAGATTTTAAAGTATCTTCACATCGGAAGATTTGGCGTTGGCCGTCCCGCAGCTTGTAATTTACGCCGTAAACACAGATCGCATATACGTTTTTAACGCAAAAAAACGCATAAATACAATGTAAATACAGCCTTTGTACATAGTGACAGTGCATACAGACTTAGGGAGTCCGAGGGGTGGCCGCCTGACGCCCTGGAATCAGTAAAAAACGAAGTTTTGTTCCATGCCGTCGTTTCCCTTGCCAAGGGCGAGGGGGACGCTGTGTTGTGGCTGTTTGAGGAGGCGGAATATTGACCTTTATGCGTGAATTTCGTACTGTAACCTGGGTGCCACAACGAGCGGCAAACACACAAATATAGCCGTAAAAATACCCCCTTTTTATATTATATTTACGTTTTTACGCGTTAAAACATAGACGTAAACGTAAATGGCAAACCTTCCGTCGCCCGGTGGGGACTTGGCGTCTGTTTTGACTGGCCTGTGTTTGGACTGTGGCGAAGGAGTCGTCGGGACCGGCGTTGCGCCTGGCACGTCTGTGTACGTTTTGACGCTCCAGGGCAGAAATGGCATGGGGTGTCTGGCACGCGACCGGCATTTACACGCACTCATGATCTGCAGCCCAAGAGATGGTTTCGAGGTGAAGAGAACAGAAAGTCGCGAGAAGAAAAGAATGAGAAAATGGGGCAAAGAGGTTGTCTAAATGGAATTGACAGGCTGAGTGTGGGGTGGATTTTCAGTGGGACGCAGTCTGCGCTAGACTGCCGAGTTGGTGCGCTTTGCTGATGGCTGGCAGCCTGTCGAGAGGATTACATAGGAGACGCAAATTTCGATCTATTTGCGGCCCAAGAACGCCGCAGCGCCTGAGCAGCATTGACGCCGGAATTTGAGACCCAATTGTCATCTGTGAAATGGTGCCGGTGAGGAGCAATTCGGACAGAGATGCGAACGTGACCGTTGAATGTATTGAACGCAATTTGTGTTGTGGGGTGTGTGTAACGTTGTATTCAGTGCCTGGTGGGTAGTGGTATAGCGCGTTTGCAATCGAAAATAAAGCACACGACCAATCCAGTATTGAACGACACAGACAACTGCACATGTTCAAGTATACAGGTGGAAAATGTGTGTTGATGGCGCACTGTAAGTAAAGCGCATCCTTTGCCCTTGTGGCAAGAAAACGGCAAATGGCGGCCTGTCATCCACGACGGCTGCAGAATTGTCATTTACGAGTACAGCACCATTTTTACGTTAAAGCTTTTACGCATAAATACGCATCAATATAAATGGCATTGTGTCTGCCATATTACGCATCTTTGCAGCTCTTCGACGCACCCAGGCTACATGATGACGTCTTAAAGTATGATCAGTCCTCCGCCCCCTCACACAGTACTGGCAATGCAGCGTCCATGTCGCCATCGGCAAGGCCAACGACATTGCCAAGCCAAAAATCGTTTTCTACCCACTCCAGCGCGTCTGGCTGCCACTCCCCCATAGTCCTGGAACTGTACTGTGTTTATGTAAAAAGGTCCGTTTAACGCATTTTGCCGTCTATTTACACGGAAAAGCGTAAAAATTCTTTTGCGCATAAATGCGCATAAGTAAGCTCTTGGTTACGCCGTAAACAAGTTGCCTGGATGGCTGAGCCTCGGCATTCTGTGCGAAGGGATAAGGAATGAAAAATGGCCCACATTCTGAGAAATGTAAAGATTTTAAAAGTTGAATAATTGCGAGCAATTGGCAACGCGCAGACAATGTAAAACATGTGAACGACGTCAGTTATTGTTGTCTGATACTGCAAAATAAATATGAACATCTAATAGGAATGGCCATGGCCCTTATTTCACCGCGCAACAGGAACACTGGGTCTCACCATACTTCAATATAGAGGAATGTATGTCTACGCTACCAAATATTGTACATCTTCCGTTCGGAATTAATTGACCTCTATTTGGGAGACAGATTTAGTTACAAAGGACACTTAAATTTACCAAAAAAATCGGAATCGAAAACATTGGTTTGCAAAATTCTTTACTACCAATTTTCAAGAAAAAATGTTGGTCCCACCCCCTTTGGAGTTCCCCCAAAATTGACCGAACTTAATCCAAAAAGTGTGCATGCTGATTCCGCACTCGCAAGAGACCCGCACGGTTTTGGGGCACTTCCGTCCTATGTGTGCCAAAGAGAGGTCGTTGCCACCTTCGCGGTGAAGGGCGGCGTCCCTTAAGTGGAATAGCGCCTGACAAACACGCTGGAACCGTTTGGATCCCCATCGCGGAAGGCCATTGTTGCAATTTTGACAACTTCTGAAGTCTCAGCCATCGTCGATCTTGACGTGTGGACGTAAAGCAAGCGGACACGGCTAGGGTCCAAGGCATTCAAGCTTGGGCTATGTGCGAGGTGTCATCCCAAGATTATGTAGTGGACTTGCTTAGGAAATCTGCCTAGATTGAGGCTTGAATCGTTGCTGTTGTGGGCAGCCTGGCCCACACCCCACAAGTAGTTGCTGCCACGATTTGCCAACTCTTGCATGCAGTACACAGTCTATCGCAGCCCACAAGTGCGTTTCCCTTTAAGAGACATATTTTTATCCATGCAGTCAGTCTTCTCGAGCTCAAAACTTTAAGGGCCGAAAAATGGTCGATTCACCATTTCCTTCCAGGAGGCCACTGCCTAATTGCCCCCAAATGTCCGCTGCTGAATGACGTGATGGCCACCACGCTCCTAAGGCGTCAGCGAGGGAGTTGGGAGGCCTCGTGCAATACCCCTCGCAATGGAGTTTCAGGTCCAAAAGTCGTGGTCCAGGAACCTGGGCCCGATGGGCGTCTCTGATTTGGCTACAGGAACTTGAATTGCAACCGCAAGACCCGGTGACCTCCACGATCAGGACTTCAACAAGCGATTGTAATTGTCCTTTGCAAGCACCTTCAATTGTTGCCATTGTCCATTGCAAGCACCTTCACGATCTTCTGTCCAAACAGCGTCGATAGTCTTGCCCATCACTAGGAAAACAAGGGCCAAATAACACTTTCGCGAGCACACATACAACACATTTCATCAAAGTTCTGCACACTAAGAACACGTAAATAACACAAACCCGTAAACTTTTTACACACTTGAACACGTGTTATTTGGCCCTTTTTTCCTAGTGCATGTGGTTATGTAGCGCTGCCGCAAAAGCGTGCTCCTCAAAACAACGAAAATGGCCATTCCGGCAGAGACGTTGAAAAACGGGTGGATTTCCGTGTCTGGATGACACTTTCTACAAAGCGGCTCCGAGTCCATAGTATTGAGCTGATTTGACTTGAGATTTTGACTGCATACTCTCAGGACATGGGCGCAGTTTTGCAAGAAATTTTACTGAGAAATGAAGTGTATATGGTGGAGACGTAAGGCACGAAAAGCATGGAGGACAATTAATTCCCGATGGAGGAAATACTCAGCAAATGTACGCGAATGTTGCATTCCAGAGAAAACTGACGGGCGCAAAATGTGGGGTGATTTCCAAACTGTCAGGCAAAGGTTCGATTGCCGCCCCTCGTGCCCACAATCCAATATTCAGAGAATGCAACGTTTCCTCTGTATCCTCATACGAAAATACAGCACACTTTTTATAGATATAGATAACCCTAATGACAAAAGTATATTACATTTTCATTAAAATTTGTGGAGGCGAGCTCCAGCCATCGGAGTGTCTTGCAAGCCCGCGTGCACGCGCTGACCTCCATGCTTGATCATAACATCTTCCGTTAAAGCACTCAAGTCACCTCGCGCCCACGCGATGTTTTCCGATCCCTCAGCGCTATCCGTCAGCATGTGCTTAGCACGTCGCCAGGGACACTGGCGCAAGTGGCCCGAATATATGTTGCAATCGCTCGACTGGTAGCGCTACATGTTTTGGGCGGGGTGCAGCAGGCAATGCAAGACCGTCCTGTGGCGGTTGAAGACGATTTAGTGCCTTTTTGGTGTTCATGTTTGGGACAAAAAAATGCTGAAAAGGAACATTTTGGGGCGTGAGGAAATCGCGGCCCCTCACCGATTCCACTTCATCCGTCCTTCTTTCAACAAATGGAATCAAATTGCATTTGTCGGACGTATTCTTCAGCAGTAATGGAACTGAAATAAATACCATGTCTGGATGCTAAGCTTTTGCTCAACTGCACTTTCCTATACGCCGTGATCGAGAAACGGCAGAACAGCGCACATGGGCACGCTTATGGATGACGGGGTCTCCTGAGTTTACACTGTTTGAGAATTTGTTGTATTCATATCTGCCAAAAATAGGTGTGAAAAAGGCCCGAGAGCACTGTGGTGTCACACACTAATTCGCCGTATGTTTTTTGGTTTGCTTTGTCGAGGTTGGCGTCACCCGTTGCTGTTACGCTTTTCTGGCGCATCTCCCCCTCCCCTCTTTATAAACTCGCGATGGTCATTTCTTTGGGGCTTGTACCTTGGCTAAGAGACGCCCGGAACATCCGACGGGCCCCTGTCCAGGGCGGATGTGGATTCTGCGCCTGAATGTCCAGCCCGCCCCACCGCGCGCTGCCTGCGCCTTTGGCAGCACTTTAGAAAAGCGGCACACTGCGGCATTCGGCAGGCCAGGGGAGGACTGACCCATTGGGACGAGGTGAGCACATTGCAGTGGCTCACAGGCGCGGTTGCTCTGTGAGATACCCCAAAATTGTTCGTGCCTTCGAGGTGTCAGCTGCGTATCGTTTGAAAGAAAATGGGACCAGCAGCTCGCGACCATAACAGCTTTGCCGTTGTGCTCCATCAACAGCTTGCGCTGCGATGGATTTGACACGAGCCGATTCCTGTCGGTGGGCGCTTGGCAGATTGCTTCAGCGCATCGCACAACTACGCTTACAGCAGGCGCATCACGCACTCCCAGTCACCGAGCTGATGGCGGTTTCTGGCAGACATTTGGTAATCTAGTTTGCTTTAAGAATCGTATCGCGCCGAGCCCCATGCGTTTTACGCCAGTGAGCTGCGACACCACAGTACCACAATTTCAACGCGCTAGTTCTTGTAGACGTCCAGTAAGTGTTACAAACTGTTGCCGCAATATCTCCACGGGAAGTGCAAGGGCAATTAGGAAAAGATGATAAGACTTTTATTATATCAGAGAAAGCAAAATCCACAGGTCCAACATTAACACCCAGTTTTGCGATGTCGCTGAGACCCATTGGAAACGTAGCGTCATGCTGTTCTAACTTCATAGAATCCACCCGATTGCTGAATTCAGCTGATCTGGTGAAGCGCCCACCGGCACTGGAGCGTGTGAGGCGTCGTTGCCACTTCATCACGAGGGGCATTCTGTACCGCATTGCCCTGCCTATGCGAGTATATAATGATCTGCTGTTTGTGGTGATTCTGTCTCACCGTGGCCTTGCAACAGTGGGCTCCACAACAAATAAGCTGATTGCCACTAACGCATCCCTGCCATGCGTCTTCTGGGGTGGAACTGCGTAACAAATCAAGAAAACAATCTTGTGAATGCTGTGCGTTTCTCTCCACACACCACTCTGTTTCCCGCAAGGCAGCGCAGAAGGGAAAACTCTTCTGTGTCCCTGAGGCAAATGGCAGGACCAGCAACTGTAGTCAAAGCACGACATTTTCAGATAATTCTGTTTCTGTCCAATTGTTGAAAATTGTGTGTTGGAAGTAAGAGACCTGTCATCGACAGCGCCTTCTCGATCATGGGCGCAACAGTGCTTTGCTTCTGCATCACCATTCATTGTGACAATGAATTTGGCACAATGCGCGTGTTGCCGAATCCAGTCCTTGAATCCTGTTATTGGTGCAACGCCCGCAAGTACATGACAGCGAACGCATGAGTTCAATCGACCAAATTGCAATTCGCGGAATTTTGTTCCCGCACAGAAAGACACAAACTCGGCCCCGCTGCCGTTTCTTTCCCCAGGCGGTGCGCAGCCCCACGCGCCAAGCCGACGGCCAACATCTTCTGGGTCCATGTCCACAGGCGGGGCTGACGACCGGCTGGGGGTAGGCGCCATGGACGCTGCCCAGGCCCTGGCGGACGCCGCGGCGCGCGGCGACGAGCAAGCGCTGATCCGCGCCCTGGCGGAGCTGGACTGCAGCCTAGCCGCCTCCGGCGCGGGCCCCCGGGCCCTGGCGGCCGCCGCCGCCTCCGGCCAGGTCGGCGCCGCGCAGCTGCTGGTGTCCAGGGGCGCCAGGGTCGACCCCACCCCGGAGGGCCGGCCGCCCCTGCTGCACGCCGCCGTGGCGGGGGGCCACCTGGAGATGGCCGCCTACCTCATCTCCAAAGGGGTGGACGTGCATGAGCTCGACGACCGCGGCTGGAGCGCCCTGCACGTGGCGTCTGGCCGAGGGGACGCCAGACTCATTTGCGCCCTGCTGGAGAGCGGGGCATCCACGGGCTGCATGACCAGGAGAGGGGGCCAGACGCCGCTCCACATCGCTGCCAATGAGGGGTCGGCTGCGGCTGTCGAGGAGCTGATCAAGGCGGGCGCCGGGGCAGGTCCCGCCGATGCCTGGGGACAGACGCCCCTGTTCCTTGCGGCCAAGGCGGGGCGGGAGGGGGCCGTGGCGGCGTTGTTAGAGGGGGGGGCGAGGGTGGAGCTGGGCGGCCCCGGCGGCGAGACGCCCCTATGCGCGGCCGCGAGGGGGGGCCACGCGCCGGTCGTGCGCCTGCTTCTCACCCACGACGCCCAAAGGCAGCGCGACCGGGCCCTGCAGCTTGCGTCCCAGCTGGGCTTCGTGGACGTCGTCCAGGAGCTGCTGTGCTGCGGCGCGCGCACGGAGCTGCGGGACGGCTCCGGCGCCACGCCGCTGTTCCTCGCGGCCGGGGCGGGCCGCGCCGGCGCCGTGCGGGCCCTCCTGCACGGCGGCGCGGCCGCGGACGCCCGCAACGCCGCCGGCATCACGCCGCTGTACATGGCCGCCAAGCGCGGCCACGCGGACGTGGTGGGCGACCTGTGCGAGGCGGGCGCGGAGCTGGACCCCCGGTCCCGATCCCTTGGCCTGACGCCCCTCCACGCGGCCGCCCAGGAGGGTCGGCTGGGCGCCGTGGCCGCGCTCCTCTCCCAGGGGGCGGATGCCCACGCCAGGGATACGGCGGGCGACACGCCGGCGGTCATGGCCGCGACGAGAGGCCGGACCGGGGCGCTGGATGCGCTGCTGGCCCACGGGGTGGACGTCGCCGCGACCAACCGCGCGGGGGACTGCCTCCTGTTCCTTGCGGCCCGGCACGGCCACCCCGAGGCGGTGGACCTGCTCCTGGAGCGCGGGGCGGACGCGGAGGCCAGGAGGCCGCGAACGGGGGAGACGCCGCTCCATGCCGCCGCACAAGCCGGCCACGCGGACGTCGCTGCGGTGCTGCTCGAGCGGGGGGCTGAGGTGGGCGCTGCCGCGGCCTGCGGCAAGTCGCCCCTCATGGTGGCGGCGGAGAGGGGGCACGGGGGTGTGGTGGAGGAGCTGGTGGCGCGCGGCGCCAGACGGGAGGGGGTGGTCAGGGCGCTGTCCGCGTCCCCGCTGGAGGCGCACAAGCGAATGGCCAGGCTCCTGAGCGAGATGGACGCCGAGGGTGCCGTGAGATCGAGGGCCGCGCAGGCGAAGGGATCGGGCCCCAAGGGCGGCGGCGGTGGGGAGGCGCAGACGGCGCCGCCGGCCGAGGAGAGAATGAGCTCCGGGGCGTCTGAGCCGGACGGCGCATCTGGTGGCGATGCGTCCGACCAGGGGGGTGCGGGAACGGACGAGGCAGATGGTGGGCCTGCGGCGAATGCTGCTGTGGAAACGGCCTGGGGAGCGGGGACTGCCAAGGTGGTGAGTGGTGGGGGTCTGGGCGCGATGGACAAACCGTCGGTGGACGTGAGCGACCCGGACGAGGGCCTTGCAGCCAATGGGGCGGGGAAGCGAACGACAGACGGTGGCGGGTCCAAACTGGAGAGGCGGGTGCCCGGCAAAGGTGGGTCGATGGGGTGCGCCGCGACCGCCAAGGGGGACGAGGCGATGTGCAATGGCAGCGCCGCTTCAGGGGCGTGCGGGCCGGGCGTGTTTGGGGAGAGTGTTACCGCTGAGCCAGCTCCAAATGCCAGAAGTCCTGACGGCCCCAGTTCCAATCAAGTCGCCGCCGAAAACGGTGTGGCGAGGGAATGGGAACAATCCGCAAGTGGCGAGGATCGGGACATTAGTAGGCTGACGTCATCAGCCAATTCAACGCACCACGGAGCGCGTACGAAAGGTGGGAGGGACCAGGATGAGAGGCCAATTCTTGGCAACGGGGTAAAGCCGGAAGGGCGGCGCGGGATTGGCGCACTGACGGGGTACGACATGAAGGGGAAGAGTCCACAGCGACAGAGTTCCCAACGGGCCTCTTCGGGATGGATGAACGGGACGTGGAGGGAGAAGGGTCTGCCGGAAGAGCCGCGGCAGTCCAACGGCAAATGCGGACCAACGGACGGGTTGGCGAAGAATGGGCGGCACAGGGCCGAGGTCGAGGCGCTCGAGGCCCAGTTTTCGACTCTGAGGACGTTCTGGGACGCCACAAAGCCGTGCCAAGGGAAGCAGGCCTTGGAACCGGAGGTCAGCAAATGAGAACCGTTTTGGGCCCCCTGGGGCCACCATGAAGGTCCGTTGGGATGCCTGGGACGGGCGCGGGTGCCTGACCCCATGAATACAGATACACTGCGCATACACAAACTAGGGTGCTGCGCCAGGGTAGGTTGGTGCCGGACGCTGGCACTGTGAGCACACCACGAGGGATCACTGCATCAGGGGAGCGTGCGGGCAGCCTGCACTTGCGCATCTCTCTAAGGCGTCATGTTCCTTGAGGGGGGCGTGCAGAGCGACATGGAAGCCAACGCATCCGTGCCCTGCATAGTTTTCTGTGGGGCCGATAGAATGGACTGTTGACGATGGGGTCTGAGATGACATTGGAGTGGTCACTCCAGATGCAGAAAGTCTGCAGCCTCCACAGTCGCATCGCCCTATCCATACAGATGGGGCATGACGGAATGTGAATATCCAGGCAACGAACTGTCGCTGTCCCTGGTGCCTGTGGCAACAACACATAACCCCACAGTGCACCACACAGTTGCAGGTTTGACTGTCGACGTCACCCCACCCACGCACCCACACTGGAGGCAAGCGCGCAGATCAACATCCCAACTGAATGGCGCCATGCCAAAGGCAGGCAGCCACAGTCGAGTCAAAGGTTACAGTGCCGCAAAATCTGTTTGTGCGTCCATCAGCTGTGCAACCTACATGAAGTACAAGTGCTGGTCCATCATTCACCAACTCCGCAATCGTTAAGCCGTCACCTGGAATGAGGACGCAGGCGCCCACCGCTCCCCCTCACCCCTCCCACTCTCAAAAAGAATCCCTGAACACTCATGAATTCAAAACTCGGACAGCGTGTTGGGCTGTTTGCTCTCTGCTCCGGACACAAACCGGGTTCTGGTGCGCATTGCCGATATCAAGGTTTTGAAAGAATCCATATGCTGGCTTCCCCTAGGGAGGCCTCCACGGCGTTGCCTATGCGCCACAAGCTCAGATACTCGATTCCAAAATACGAACATCGGTCCTCCAACGCACCGCGTCGCTCTAGCACCATATCGCGTTCCATGATGAACACTCAGCCGTGTTCCTTACTGTTGGCCGTTTTCTCATGCCAGGTCTCGATGGCTGCTCTCAGCAAACTGTTGGCATGCAAGTCCGCGTGATTGAAGGGCTCACCAGCTACCGGCGACGCCCTGCCCGCCTCCAGCCATTCAGCAATGGCAGCACGCTCGTACGTGTGCCCGTCGGCGGCCACCACGGGGTCCCTCATGATCCCCTGCAAGCATCGTCAGTTCCTTCAATGCGGGGAAGCGCAGATGCCCAGTCCCCATGTGTGGCCATCATTGAGATACGCTATTCTGTAGATTCGCCACCTGTAGACGCCTTTGTCACCAAATTCAATAGTAAGGAGATACATTCCTCAGGCTGCAATTCTGCCACTAGTAGAACGGCGGGGTCAAATGCACGCGAAAGAACTGACCGAGGAGATCCAGCACAAACATTTTTTCCAAGGCAGCCGCGACAGCTTCCGTTGTCCACGTGCACAGAGGTTGCCCAGAAGTTGTCCAGAAGTTGTCCATGTGGGCAGGATTCACAGGTTGAATGCCGCATCCCAGACCAGCAACTGTTGTGACAGCACAGTGTGGCTCACCTTGGTTATTGGGCAAAGAAAAGCACCTGGCATGCACCTGCTCAGGGCAGGTCCCTCTGTGGTTCCTGCAGATATGCCTCCTGAGGCGCCGCTCCTGCTTCTGCTGCTGCAGTGCATGCTCCTGCTCTTCTTTGCCAACATCTTGTCAACTTCCTGCAGGATCGCTATACGCCTCAAGCACAACAACGATGATTTGATGACAGCCATGTCCGACCTAGTCAATCTGGTGAAGGGCTCTGTTCTGTAATGGGGCCAAGGCCATGAGAAAAGGATTAACAAATAGGCCAATGTATGGCATACTATGATAAATGTTCACTTGAATATGGAGAAGAGACTCATGTAGTCACACAATTGCTCCAGAATGGTATCGCTTGCCACTAGAGCCGCTGAAGATGTAGTGGATTATGCCCATATCATCGTGGTCTTTCCTGTTTGGGAAGGGCAGCAATCTTTCTTGCGACTGTCATTCTTAACACATTGTTACTGATCAGCACAGCATTACAACAAGCAACGAAAGGTTCACCTCTGCACAAAAATCAATACAGCAGAGAAGCATCATCTATGTCACCAGGCTCAACTCGGCACTTGCTCAATCTGATACGCTTGTGAGTGAAATGTGCCAAACGACTCGACCCTTGTATTGCACCCTGCATCTGATGGATTTTGCCACCAACCCATTATAAGCATGCACATCTCACACCTGTTCCGGCACAGTGAGTACATGACTGGGTGCCCAATTCACGCACTTGCCAACATCTTCATTAGGAAATCCAATGTCCATACACATCAAAGCGACTGTTCTTTCACACTTTTTGGTGATTCAGGAACCAGAAGTACACACCCAGAAGGGCAAGATGCAGTTGCACCAGGTACATACTCATGCTCATAGCAAGCCAGATCGGGGCAAATTATTACTCATTGGCTCACAATTTTGGGCCACAGAAAAGGAAACTGGGAGTGCCATGCCAGGCTTCATTGTGCATGGCTTCCTCATGTCACAGATGTCACAAACTCTGTCAATGAGAGGTGTCCAGCATGTAACAAGTCCCTTCTGTTGATCCCACAATCTTTGGCACACTTGAGCCATTCCATTACCTGTTGCTGGGCAGCTGCCATCGATAATGCCTGTCGCACCATGTTGCAGCCCAACGAAGCCTCACCGCCAACGTTCTCTCCTGCCACGTCCCATGGCGTTCGCCCCTCAACGTCCTTCGCGTTCCATGCAGCGCCGCCTTCCAGCAGCGCCTTCAAAACCCCTGTGTGACCATTTGCAGATGCCCCGTGCAGTGGCGTGCGCCCCTGGGCGTCGGCATCGTCAATATCAAGGCCCCTGATCCAGGTTATGGACACCATGAGCCTCTCCACCGCCAGCAAATGCCCACCCCGTGCCGCAAGGCACAGGGGTGTCTCATAGCGGCAGTTCAGTGCATGAGGGTCCGCCTTAGCTGCCAGCAACGCGTTCAACAGCTCGGGGCTTCCATTCTCAGCTGCCACATGCACGGCTGTGGTCCCATCGGTGGAGGCGAACGATGGGTATACCTTCCAGTAGAGGAGCAGACAGACTGTCTCTAGGTGGCCACCCCTTGTTGCGGCCAGAAGTGGGGTCTCCCCAGATGCATCCAGTGCATGCTTTTCGGCCCCGGCATCGAGGAGCTCTGCCGCTACGAGAGTGTGGCCATTCTGGCAGGCCAGGTGCAGCGCCGTCATCCCGGACTTGTCCCTTGCAGACACTTTGCATCCTGTGGCAAAGTCATTGATGTCATTCACCGTGACGACTTTTAAATGAGAAGGAAACATGGCGTGCTGTACATATCTGGTTCTCGGGCAAAGAGGTCGTTAATGCTGTTTTATCCACTCCCAAAATGATGCAAAAGTCTCTGAATATGGTAGATGATGCTCTTGCTCCTCAGCAGCACAGTTTGCAAATTTAATCGAAATGGATACCAAACAACTGCTGCCAACACGACGGCCCACTGCGGTGTTGCTGGCAGTGCAAAGCATGAAAGCTGGCCTCTCTCTAAAGCACAGTTCTGAACAGCTGATGTGCCACCACTGCTGGCCTGGCTGCAGGTGCTTGGACATATCTAACGTTTATGAGCACCAGAAAGCGACAGAGTACTATTCAGAGCCGAAATCTGTGTTGTTTTTGTATATTTGCAGAGATAATCCGGAAGTGTTAAGAAATTAAAAGCGTTGGCAACCCCATCCCTCTGTATTTTCAGCCTGATAGCCAAAGTCAGTTGCTGGAATGTTTTCAGCCTGTGCCCCACAATCCCCCACTATTGGTAGGGGGGGAGGTGTAACACCCATTTTGGCTTGGACTCAGTGTTCCTGGGATCATAGGCTTGATAGCAATGCACACGCAGAAGAAACAGGGCTGCAAGTCCACAATATCCAAGGTGCAGATACATGTGACCCTCAGTATTGTCAACAAGAGCCACAGTATCCATCAATAAATTGTACGCACTGTTTTTATGTGTGCGTATTTTGTTAATTAATTAATTTATTAATTTATTTATTTATTTTTGGGATCCTGTACATCTCCTGCTGCTGTCCCGCCAGGTGAGCAAAGACCCTACGTCTCTTCTGATACATCAGGCTGGCACCCGAATTCTTCAACAACCTGTGGGTCCTCGAAACAGGTAAGGCACAACAACACCACTCACCATTCTCGATGATCAGCTGCACCACAGCCATGTGCCCATTGTGGGCTGCCAAATGCAGTGGAGTGCGCCTGCATGGAGTCTCTTTCCTTGCGTTGCCCCCTTGATAAATCAGCAGCCTGAAAATTTGCTCGTCCCCCAACTCTGCGGCCAGATGCACGGGCGACATGCCCTTGCTGTCCAAAACGTCCACCTCCACCCCCAGTGTCAGGAGCTCTGCAGCCTGCTCCCTGTCCCCCGCCCGAACGCATGTGAGGAGCCTCTAGGAAGACCCACACAACCCTATTGGTAGGGGAAAAATTCCACTGTCTCCATCGACCTGCTCATGTCGACCTACCATCACCCAGACCAAACATCGTGCACACTCAGCAGCAACGCACCATTTCCATGCCCACATTCATCCAACATCGCATTACAATCAACGGAACACTAAGGGACAGACATGGACACTGCTCTGGCTCACCAAGGCTTGGGGCAAATGGACCAGACTTTGTGTTATGGATGCATATCACTGCAAACGACAATTCCTAGCAACCTCACAACTGTTCCAGCATGCGTGCGCAGTGCCAGGCGCTTGCTTTGCTCTCAAGAGGCATGAAAGCCATTGAATGGCAACGATGCAGCTACACTTCAGGCTAGGTTGACATCACTGTTAATAGGCAACATGTGAGGCCCCAGCACCAACCCTTTTGAGTGTCAGGTGACGAGATAGAGCTTGCACATAGTGGGGACGGGTGCCTGCAGAGGGGTGAATTACCCAAAACTGGCTTGCACGTGCAAGGGCAGTGACTTGTCACATGCCACCAAGCGCAGCAACATACACATCCTTAACCATCCACCACTCCCTGGCAAAACTAGAGTACTGCCAAGCTCATGCACCATGATAGAAATGCCATCCAACCCTCATGCTCCAAAGACTACAGCCAGCACCGTCCCACAGCAACCATCAATTCCACCACAGAAGTGCTCCACGGTACATATGAACTGAACATTTCATGAGCTATTCCTGTGCAATTCAGTTACCTCGGCCATTTTCTTCGGAGTGCCCGCCAACATTGACCTGATCTCCCTCTTCTCACCAGAGCTCCCCTGCTCCCACTGGCACACAACGTCGAAGGGGCTCAGGCCCTCTTTGTTCTCCTTGTGGGGTAAGGCCCCTGCTGCCAGCAGCATCTCCACCAGTTGGGCATCGCACCTGACAGTAGCATCAAAACCCATCCACAAAATCAGGAGCCACATCCTAAACCTACAATGTGGGATGGCTTTGCACCTTGCAAGTGCATAGACGACAGTGTGTCGAAATTCTGTGCAACATAACCCAAAGACAATTTTCTGGCTTCCCACTGCCCTGTTCATATTGGCACATTTCTTGGGCGCCTTGTTTCCTCCATGCATTCTGTGTGTTTGCACCCGTTGTTCTTGAGCTATCTCCTTCCATGTCCAAGTCCCAGAGACCTGGACAATAGGGCAACTAGTGACCTGAAATGTGAAGCTCATTTCTGACTCGTCCCACAGCAGTCACAAGGGTTCAAAAACACAGTCTGAGGTCCACACACCAAAGGCCATGGTGTGCCTCGAGTGCAAGACACAGAGAGAAGCACTCAGAGAACAAGCTAAGACATCGATGTCCTTGCCTCAACAGTTTACCACCCTCCACACCCCCAGCACCCACCCAGCCACGCACTATAACACCAAAACTTGCAAGTTCTGAGTACATTCCTAACTCAGGTCATGCACTCTTCCTTCTAATACACACTGACCACCTGTGACTTCACTGCCCTCTCCAGGAATGCATCCCTGTGCATGATGATGCTGACCGTAATGGCATCTCTGTGCATTATATTGCATGAATAAAGACAGGGCACAGGATGCAAATGAGTGCCCCCCCCCCACCCACCCACCCACACACACAGACAGAAAAAAAGGAGTAGCCTAGATGCTGTCTGCTGCAGGCAGCACTGAAGCTCTTATCGGTTGCACAATCATTTTAGTAGATATCATTCCTGCCGCTTGACCTGGGATGCTTCCTGCTACTTTTCATCAAGCAACTTGTGCACCAGGGTTGCAGTTTTGCTCATCAGAACAGGCGCTTGCCTTTAATTTTTCAACAGCGGTGGTGGAAGCATTTTCGTCATCTGGCACATCGCGAGCCTTGTCTGGTATCGACAACAAGCAGCTCCACAGATGCAACACAGTTCCCATGGCACAACGCACCACACCCTTTTGTCCTTCAAAGGCAAAAGATAATGACACCAGGGACACAGGAGCGTCAAAGACACAACATCTACATTAAATTGACATGACAGCGAATTTGCACAGCCGACTGCTGATGATGATGTTCAGCAAATACTGCTTTTATTTCCACCTCTCTGGGAACTGCTGCAGATGCAATGCATCCTGTTAGATCCAGGTGCATGCCAGCGCACGTCCCAAAACAAACACACTGCCACTCGCAAAGACAATACAAACTTCCCTTGACTCTCTCAGCCACGTCCCCCATCTTCCCACATCACCACGACAAACAAGCTATGCCAACAGGTCCCTAACCTAATCGTTTTGCTTGACAGAGCACAAGCCCACACAAAATCGCAAAAGGACGTGGCCAGACATCCACTCGATCAGTGGTATAGGCTCTGTCCTATTCACAAAACCCCCTAATGTGCCATTCGAAGCAAAATTAAATCAACGAAAATCAAATGGTTTCCATGTGCCAATCTGCATGTGCCAGGCAGGTCACCTGCCAGCCCCAGCGTTTGTATCAGACCCCAAACTCATTTCGTCCAAGGCTTCCACAACAGGGCCACACCTGGCAGCGGCCGCATGCAGGCCTGTCCAACCCTCCTTGGTGGTCGCATTCACTGCAACCTTTTCCTTCTCCCCCAACAGGAGCTCCACGAGGTTGTGGTGGCCATGCAGTGTGCCCAAGTAAAGCGGGGTTGCGCCGTCCTTCCTGCTGGCCGCGATGTCTGCACCCCACATCATGAGCTCCTCCACCACCCCCTTGTGCCCGCGCTCGGCTGCCAGGTGTATCGGCCGCGCACTGTCTTGCCTCCTGCGATTTATGTTGGCACCCTGCAAATGCAACGGGCAGAGCGGCATGAAGTGCTGCGATGTGTCAGGGAATGCATCCCTTGCATGGTTTCTCAACTCCAAAGTGATCACAAACAAGAAAGTTAATAGTACAGGCATCCTTACAGGGAGCAACAGCACCATTTTGCATAGAGAGGAAATGAAGGGCACTTGACATTTAACTGCGAGCGAGCAAACAAGCAATTATATGAAGGCAGTGCCTTCATTGTTGCCAAGCCCAGCACTTCACTGCAGCACATGGACAATGTACCCAAAAGGGAAAGTCGGAGCTGGGGTGTGAAAAAGCTTCCGCATATAACGGCCAACCACCGACTGCATTTCAGGACCCCATTTCCTTGTTCTGTACATCGTACTCTGACAACTCAGCATTGTGAAGAGTGCAGTTCTGGGGTTCATGTTGTGACTGGCGAAACATAGCAAACTCAGTTTACCTATGGCAACCAAGCAATCATTGAGCACAGAGAATGTGATATTGCGATGTCTCCGCTGCTGATGGGTGCAATTCAGCAGAGCGGGGTTTGACACTTCATGGAAAAACAGCACTTCAGCCTCAAGCACAAGGCCATAGTGAAGGCCTGAAGGCACTATTGCCTGCCATGTTGTCACATTGCATGGACACCCAGCACAGCATTGGAACATAACAACCACTCTTCCTAAATCTCAATTCACATTTTCCCACACAGTGTTCTTTCATTAGGACGCAGGCGTAGAACAGATACAAAATTGAAGCAACTCAACATAGAATCAAAGTTGGAAGACAAAAACACAAACAGAAAAACACCAGATCGCATATGCACAGAACCATCCAACACATCGCAATGCATACTGAACCCTATGCAGCGACTCATTGCTGACCTGTTGCAGGAGGTTTGTAACAACCGCCCTATGGCCATGGCGGGCAGCCACATGCAGCGGTGTCTCGCCAATGCTGGTTGCAGCATCTACCATCGCACCAGCTGCCATCAGATGTGACACCATTGCCACATACCCCGATCCTGCAGCGGCATGGAGTGCCGTGCCCCGATTGGGGACAATGGTGTTCACATCGGCACCAGCCTTGACCAATTCCTGAAATGTGTACACATGACAGCCATTAACAACACCAGAATTTTCAACACATTATGCAAGACGATGCACAGACACCCATGACAAAAATGAGGGCTGGACATGCCAACATACAAACTATTTTGCCTAGTGCGGTGGCGCGACAAACATGCAGTGTATGACTTGTATTGCTCCACGTGGAACACAAAGAATTTCAGTTCAGTTCACTGCATTTGATAGACGATGGAGATCAGTATCGTCCATGCCCTTCCCGCAAGATTTTCAACTGCACCTGTCGATGCTCTGAAATCATCCACTGATAGGCAGCAAAATGGCGATGCACAACAATGGCTGAACCCATTGATGTGTGACTCTGGTGTCCTGACTGCCCAAAGTATGGCTGACCGGCTGCACTGCAGCAAGAGATCAACTTTACTTGCAACAAATGCACAAGTGTCTGCGTGCTGAAATATTATGGCCGATGAGGAAACCAAATGCAGAGCACGGACTACTTGTGCCTAATCAAGCCAATTTTGACAATGCTCACAACCTGTTTCAGACCTCAGCAAAGGCTCAACCATCGTTTGCATGAATTTTCAGCACAAGTGACAAGCCAAGCCACGGCTCATCGTTTTGCCCTTGGCAGGAATTCACCGACTTGCCAGAGGCTCAATCGCGCCCAGCTCCACATTCGACGTGCTGCTGCTAGCCGCATAGCATGGGCATGTACAACTCACCCACCTTTGCTATTTCCAAGTGCCCATAGTTGACAGCAGCAAAGAGGGCTGTCCAGCCGTTGTCCCCTGTGTTGCCCACCCTGGCGCCTGCTGCCAGGAGGGCCAGTACAGACTCATACTCCCCTGCAGAGGCTGCCACGTACAACGATGTGTCATGCTCCTCGTCGTAGGAGGTGGAAGTGGCACAGCTGGATGGGGCCAAATCCACGTCTGCTAGACCGATGGATGGGTCCTGCAGCTCCTGAGACTGCAAAAGCAAATAACATTGTATTGTTTCAGATGGCGCAATACTGTGCCTTCACCCATATTGGGTACACTTCTGCATAAAAACTCACATGGACCCCTCTGCAGATGTGCAAGTCAGTGCGTGCGTCCTTAACGGAAAGACCACAACTATGCTTAGCGCACACAAGGTTTGCCTCTCCCACCTTGGTATCACAACCAGGTAAAGCCACATATTGCTGAGTCAGCGACGATGATTGAATTTTGATAGTAAATACTTAGATATGTTACAATGATATAATAATTAGAGAATAACTCTACAAAACAAACACTGTGAAAATACTATGCAGGAAAGCTGCACCCCAAGGTCGGAATATTGTGCTCCCATCAATGGCACATAGACCTTGCAACAGGCTTCAAAGTACGTCACCTGGAGGTACTTAGCGCATTCAGGTACGACTGGGAGTCAAAACACAAAAAGATGCACCACAGCAGCAGAACAGACAAATTGTACCAGAGATGAATTGAGAAAAGGGAGTCCCTTGCACAACACTTTGTGTGCACTCTGTAGGCAAGGATTGTATTGGGTGCATTAGCAATGTTCACAATGGATTGTTGATGTGCCCTTTTCTTGACACCAGTTGCAAGCCAGAAACAAATGGCCAACTGGCAATGCTGAAGGCTACTTCATTGCGCGCTTGAGGAATTGAACGGCCCAAGACAAACCCTCACAGATGCAGGGGCATCAGTTGTCGTATTCGTGACTGGTTATCATGCTTGCCTGCCTATTGTAATCAGAACAGGTTTGGAAGTCAGATTTGCTTACAATAAGCACAGCGCAGCACTCAAGCCCTCATGCTCCAAGAAACTGGCTGCAATGCACTGCAAACTCTGAGACAGCTCTGCACCAACACCCACCCTTGCCCTCTCCAGTGTGTGCCTCCTGAATATCTCCTCGATCTCCCGCCGATCGGCCTGAGGCAGGCGTTGCGCTGCACTCATGCCAATCACCTCTGCAGCCTTCCTGCCATTAACGTCCATTAGCTCTGGATCCGCGCCAGAGCCCAGCAGGATGTCCACGATCCTTGCGTGGCCAGCCAGAGAGGCCGCAAACAATGGGGTAAAACCATTGGTGGCATGGGCCGCGTTCACATTAGCACCCTTGCTCAGGAGCGACCTCACAACCTCCTCATGGCCAAAGCCCGAGGCCATGAGCAAAGGCGTGCCAACTGTACACAAGGGGTGTCACAACAGAAAGTCAGCGTACTGCACGTTCACCTGTATGACCACGTCTAAGGGAACGGATCTGCACCTTCACAGCAAGTGGGTGACGTCAGCACAGCAGGCCCTTGTGTCGCCTCAACAGAGGAGAACAATCCTCTAATGGAGCCTCTCCCTGACCAATAACTTGGTGCTACTCTCCGGAATCGGCGCCACTGTATAGAATCTGCTTCAGCACAGATGCTAACTGGCATTCAAACAAAAGCAGCACTGCTAGCAACCCACAACAATGCGGTTGCCCTGGCAGGGGCAGGCACAGCATAACCCAGCAAATACTGGTCACGGCTGGTATCCACGACGTCGCAAAAGCAGCTTGGTGCTGTACTGGCCAGCATCCCACAATATGACAGCTCTCCTGACTTAAGCCGAATATGTTGATCAACAAAAGGTCCGACTGCCATCAAAAAGTGAAACTGCTGTCTCCCTTGGGCCACATAGACAATGAATCGTGGAAATGGCGGAGGCTCTGTCGTCACAAAACTCTTTGCCTGTAGCTCCCATCAGGAATATTGACAAGAGGCAGGCTCCATCCACAAGCCCATTCCCTTTGAGGCACAGTCAATTTCCATGACATGGCAGTGCAAGTCACCAGGCCAAGCAGTTTCACAGGGAGCCCCAGAAACAGAACTATTCACGCCCATCGGCTTCCTTGGATGGCGAATACACGCCCTGTTCGAGAGGTCGAGACTTGAGACTGTGGAGGCATAGGGCGATTGTTCAGCACACGACACTCGACTTCTCCAAATGTTGACATCACCCGTTGTCTGACAAAGAGCAAAACAGCACAGCAGTTCATGCGCAGCATTCATGAAGCCCACCATCACTGTTTGATGCCTCAATATTGGCTCCCTTGGACAGCAGCAGCTCCAGCATGGGCATGTGCTTCCGCCCCGCAGCCATGTGGATGCTGGAGATCCTTGTGTTGCGCTCCGCATTGACATCAGCCCCTGCCTCCAACAGGAACCCGGCCATCTGCAGGTGCTGCTTCTTCACAGCCACCAGCAATGGCGTCTCCCCTGTGCTGGAAACAACATCCACATTCAGGCCCCGGGATATAAGCAGGCGAGCAGCGTCCACGTGGCCCTCCAGGGCCGCTTCATGCAGCGCAGTCATGCTCTTTTCCTCCGAAAGGCCGTCCAGGTCTGCGCCTCTCTCCAGTAGGTTTTCCAACATTCTGGCGTCACCCAGGCGGGCGGCCACATGCAGGAGAGGCATCGAGGGAGAGGTGCAAGTGTGGGTGTTGGCATCGGCGCCCTTGTCGATCAGCAAGTTGACGACCTGCCGCTTGCCACGCATCACAGCTGCGTGCAGAGGCGTCATGCCGGCGATGTTGCAGTGGTCAACATTTGCACCTCGGTCAGCCAGGAACTCCACCATTTGGTGCTGGCCCTCCTGAGCGGCCAGCAGGAGGGGTGTGGAGCCATTGTCAGCCTG